AATTGTGTGAAAACTTTCCTAATGGTTAATTTCCAGTGGATATGCTTTATCCACTAATTATACTATGATGATTTAATATTGTGGTCATTTTTATTTTTTATTTTATTTTATTTTATCTTTTTGAGTTGGAGTCTCACTCTGTTGCCCAGGCTGGAGGGCAGTGGCACACTCCCGGCCATCGCAGCCTCGACCTGCTAGGCTCTGGCGATCCCTCCGCCTCAGTCTTCCAAGTAGCCAGAACTACAGGCACGCGCTACCACGCCAGGCTGATTTTTTGATTTATTGTAGAGATGAGTTCTCGCCAAGTTGCCCAGGCGGGTCTCGAACCCGCGGGCTCAGGCAATCCACTCACCTCAGTCTCCCAAAGGTGCGGGATTACAGGCTGAGCCACCGAGCCCGGCTTGTGGTCATTTTTAAAATATGAAAACATACTGCTTGATAATCCTCCCTCCAAGAGATGAGTCAAATCTTCCTCTTTCCCCTCAAGTGTGGTCTTGAACTTAATGACTTTTTTTCAAAAAATGAAATGTGTCCAAAGTGATAAGGTGTTGTTAGGAAGAGAAGACATTGTGCTTCTTCCTTGTCCTCTCTGCAATCATTTGCTTGGAAAGAACCAGTCATCATGTTATAAGGACACTCAAGATATTCTATGAAAAGTTCCATGTGGCAAGGAATTGAAATATTCCAACAATAATCAGCAAGAAATAAAGACATTCTTTCTACAACTGTCTGAGTGACATACCTTAGAAGGGGATTCTCTAGCACTAATCAAACCCAGTTGAGTCTTAAATGATTGCATGCTAAGTTGAAGTCTTAGCTGCAACCTCATGAGAGACCTAACTCAGGACTATCCAGCTAATCCACTCTAAACTTCTTAGATTACAGAAACTATGAGATAATAAAAGCAGTTTTAAGCTGTTTGATGAGGTAAGGGGATAATTTGCTATTTGCAACAAGTATAAAAATATACTGCTATTTTCATAAAATGTATTGGCTACTTTTAAAATGCATGTTTTGATTCCTGTACTATAGGTTTCTCAAACTAGTTTGAAGTTATAAACCTTGGACAATTGCACCATTGTTTCAGAAATATTTTGGAGAAATATAGGATTGCAGAATTTTTATAGTGCTTTAGATGTGGCTGATTAAATGATATGAACAGATTTAGTAATCCGGAAAGAACCTTATTGCTGTGTCTGCCCATAATTGGATCACCTCTTTTAATTTCTTTTTTCTAAAATAATTTTTCTTCTTAGAAAAAAATGCTAAGTTTTTTTTTCGAACAATTAAGTAAAAAAAATAAAACTATCCTAACTCACACTCAGGTATAGCATAATCTTAACATTTTGGCACGTCCTTCTATTGTGTATCTTTACTAATATTTTTAAAAAACTGAGATCAGACTGCAGACTGAACATGTTTTTAACTTAACATGAACATTTTCACGTCATTTGCTATTAATCTCTAATGTAATTTTTTAAATATCTTGACTCTAAGCTCTTCTCATCTCTTTCACCACTGTTAGTCTAGATCAAATTACTACTAACATTTGTCTTAGCAGCTTGTAATAGCCTACTATTGCCCCATACAGAAGCCAGGTTGATCCTTCTAAAATACCAATGTCACATTACTCCTATCTCTCTCAAAACATCAAAATTTTGTCCATCATCAACAAGTTCTGCAAGATCTGGCTTGTAGCCTCCTTCCAGCTCTCATTCCTTATCACTTTCTCCTATGCGTGCTGGCTACCCAGTTTGTCATTAGGACCTTATGCTTAGCTCTGCCTGGAAATTTTTCTCCTAGACTTTCAGACTCAGCTCACTCCTTCACTTGAATCAGCTCTTTGCTTCTTCAGAAAGGACTTCCTTGTTCTAAAAAAAGCGAATCTAAAAAGGTGCTTCTATGCCTGAGCGATTGATTCACAGTTGTAATCACAGCATTTTGGGAGGGGGAGGCAAAAGGATTGCCTGAGCCCGGGGGTTCAAGACCAGTCTAGGCAACTTGGTGAGACCTTGTCTCTACAATAAATCAAAAAATTAGCCAGGTGTGGTGGTGCGCCTGTAGTTCCAGCTACTTGGAAGGCTGAGGCGGAAGGATCACCTGAGCCCAGCAGGTGGAGGCTGCCGTAGTAGTCACCATGCCATTGCACTACAGCCTGAGGGATAGAAAGAGACTGACTCAAAAAAATAAAAAAAATTAAAAAGTACTTCCATTACTCAGATTTTTTCTTTCTTTTTTTTTTTTTTGAGTTGGAGTCTCCCTCTGTCGCCAAGACTAGGGTGCAGTGGGCGCTCCCAGCCACCGCAGCCTCGACCTGCTGGCTCCGGCGATCCTTCCGCCTCAGCCTTTCGAGTAGCTGGAACTACAGGCGCACGCTACCACGCCCGGCTAATTTTTTAATTTATTGTAGGGATGAGGTCTCGCCAAATTGCCCAGGCGTATCTCCAACCCTCGGGCTCAGGAAATACTCAGATTTTTAAAAATATAATCATGTTATTATCTGACATTGTATTGTGTGTTCTTCATTATTTCACATGATTTTTTTAAACCTGTTATTTGTCTCCCTGAACTAGAATATGAGTTCTTAGAAAGCAGACACTTTTTCTGGCTTATTTACCACTCTATTCCTATGGCTTTAAACAGTACTGGGCAGGGCTTGGTGCCTCAGCCTGTAATCCCAGCACTTTGAGAGGCCGAGGCAAGTGAATTGCCTGAGCCTGAGGGTTTGAGACCATCCCAAGCAACTTGGTGAGAACTATGCCTACAATAAATAAAAAATTAACCGGCATGGTAGCGCGCCTGTAGTTCTGGTTACTTGGAAGGCTGAGGTGGAAGGTGCTGGGGTGGCCACGAGAGTGCCACTGCACTCCAGTCTGGGCGACAGTGAGACTTCAACTCAAAAAAAAAAAAAAAAAGAAAAGAAAAGAAAGAAAGAAAAGCTAATCTCAATAAGTCAAGGTTCGCGTGTGGAAGGCAGAGGACAGTACTCCAGGGTTCTCTTCTGACGCTCTCGGAATCCTGAGCGTTCAGGAGTGATGAAGCGACAGAGGACAAACCCCATGGAAGGCTGCCTCAGATCTAGGGAGAGAGACTCCGCCCCAACATCCCCAGGAGCTAATGAAAACAGGTAGTAGGGGACCCTACAGAAATCCTCTTAATTGTTCAATTAGTGGTTCCTATTTGGAAAGATACCGCTGGGATTTCAATATCCTGAGAGATGTAGGTACCTCAGAAAAATACGACAGGAAAGTATTTTTAGTTGCTTGGCAGCCTTAAAAAATTAAAATACGTAATTCCTAATCCCAAGAGGGCAGTGTGGGTTTCTTTCTGCCCTGACGTTTACGTGAACTTTTTTTTTTTTTTTTTTTTTTTTTTGAGTTGGAGTCTCACTCTGTCACCCACACTGGAGTGCAGCGGCCGCTCCCGGCCACCGCAGCCTCGGCCTGCTGGGCTCCGGCGATTCTTCCGCCTCAGCCTTCCGAGTAGCCGGAATTACAGGCATGCGCCACCACGCCCAGCTGATTTTTTGATTTATTGTAGAGATGAGGTCTCGCTGCCCAGGCGGGTCTCGAACCCCCGGGCTCAGGCAATTCACTCACCTCAGCCTCCCAAAGGAGCGGGATTACAGGCTGAGCCACCGAGCCCGGCACGTGAACTTGTTAAAAGCTTGCTCGGGTGATCCATAGTACTTCTGCGTTCACTGGCGGGGGGTGGGGTGGGGTGGAGCATTATTTCAAATGTTTCAACTGCTGGTCCTTGCAGAATGGGATATTTATAGGGTTTTAAGCATACATAGTAAAAACAAATGAAAAACCCCAAACAAAACAATGTATTTAAAAAGTAATTCGGCTAGGCTTGGTGGCTCAATCTGTAATTCCATGCTTTGGGAGGTCCAGGTGAGTGGATTGCCTGAGCCCACAGTTTCGAGACCCACCTGGACAACTTGGCGAGACCTCATCTCTACAATAAATCAAAAAAATTAGCCAGGTGTGGTAGTGCGTGCCTGTAGTTCCAGCTACTTGGAAGACTGAGGTGGAAGGATCTGCAAAGCCCAGCAGGTCGAGGATGTGGTGACCGGGAGCGGCCACTGCACTCCAGTCTGTGTGACAGAGTGAGACTTCAACTCAAAAAAAAAAAAGTAATTCAAGAACATTGAAATGTATAACATAATTTCTATTCCTCTAAATGTCCCCGCTCTGTCTCACCCCAGGCATCATTATTGTTTCCTACTGTTCAAGAAATATCCCTTGTTACAAATGCTTAATAACCAGGAATTTGCAAGCAATTTCCCAGTTGAATAGAAAAGGAAAAATGTAAAGGAAGAGATCACTTTTATTACATTTTCTTCTGTAAAATCAACTCTGCTCTAAGAGGCCTCAATCTAAAACAATTTGTTTTCTTTATTGTTCCTTGACTTTTTCTCCTTTCTGTTATTGGTAATTCATTACTTATGGCACCTAATATCCCTTCCCAAGAATTCTCATTCTAGTTTATTATGCTTATTAAAATCACTAAAATAATGTATAAATTTTGA